GTCCAAAGGGGCCAAGGAGGTCCCCAGGGGGTCTGCACATCCCCAAAGGGGTCAGGATGTGCCCAAAGGGTCCAGGAGGTCCTGGAGCAGTTCCACATGTCCCCGGGGGGGCAGGAGGTCCCCAGGGGGTCCCAGCACCCCCAAAGCTCTCAGGATGCACCCGGGATGTCCCTGAGGGGCTCAGGAGGACCCCAGGGGGTCCCGGCCACCTCCGGTCCCGCCACCAGGGGAGGTTTGGGGTGAACAAAAGCGGGACGGAGCCGTGCCCCCCCCGAAGCCCCTTGGGGCCAGCACAGCGGGGCGGGGGGCACCCAGGGGCAGGGGGCCCCAGGGGCGGGGGGCCCCAGGGGCAGGGGGCGCCCAGGGGCAGGGGGCGCCCAGCCTCACCTTGTCAATGAAGGAGGCGAACTTGTTGTTGAGGGTCTTGATCTGCTCCTTCTCCTCCTTGCGCACCCGCTGGATGCTGGGGTCGATCTCCAGGTTGAGGGGTGTCAGCAGGCTCTGGTTGACGCTGACGGCCGTGATGCCCCCCCCGGACCCGCAGGAGGCGGCCGGGCCCCGGTAGAGCCCCCCGGCGCCGTACCGGGCCCCCCCCAAGCCCCCGAAGGCCGAGGCCGCGCTCATCCTGGCGGCGGGGCCGGCGGTGTAGGAGCGGGAGCTGAAGGAGCGCACGGAGCTGCTGCGGGCGGGCGGCCTGGGCACCGACATGGGGGCGGCGGGGGGGCGGCGAGAGGGGACAGAAGGGGGCGAGAGGCTCAGGGGGGGGTCGCGAGCAGGTGGCGAGGCTGCGAGGAGGCTGCACGAAGCTTGCGATGGGGTTGCAAGAAGCTTGCAAGGAGGTCGCAACGGGCGGCAGGGAGATTTTGGGGAGGTTGCGAAGAGGTTTGGGGAGGTTTTGGGGAGGTTTGGGGGAGGTTTTGGGGAGGTTGCAAGGAGCACCCCAGGGGTTGCAGGGAGGGGGCGCGGAGGTCCGGGAGGCCGGGGGGGGCTGCGGGCAGGTTGCGAGGCTGCAGGGGTGCGAGGAGGCCGCAGGAGGCTGCAGGGGCCGGGCGGGCGGGCGAGGCCGGGTTTATATCCCCGAGCTGGGGGAGGAGAGCAGGAAGGAGGCCGGGGCCCAGGCAGCACCTGCGCCGCTTTAACCCCTTCGCAGCGGGGGGGGGCCCTGGGACCCACCGGGATCCTGCCCCCGCGGGGCGCTGGGGTGGGCGCTCGGCCCTGAACCCCAGGGCTGGGTTTTGGGCGGGGGCAGGGGGCGCAGGCTGCCCCCACCCGGAGCTCAGCACCGCTCCGGGAACCGAGCCCGGGACCCAGGACCCCTGCCCCCAGGTGGCCCCAAGCGGTGTCCCCAGCCCCGCGTCCCCACCTGGTGTCCCCAGGCGTGTCCCCAACCCCTGACCCCAACCCCACGGCCCCAACACCCCTCTCCAAGCCGTGTCCCCAGGCGGTGTCCCCAGCCCCCAGCCCCAGCCCCAGCCCCAGCCCCCTGTCTCCAACACCACGTCCCCAGCCCCTGACCCCCACCCCCCCCACAAGCCCCCCCACGGGCGTTTCTGCGGGCGAGGGGCTGCTGGAGCCCGGTCCCATGGGACACCCGTCTGGTGCTTGTGCTGGGGGGGGCAGGACGGGGCTGGCCCCGGGCACGGATCCCACAGGGGCCCAGGGAGGGCGGCGTGGGGCAGCACCGCAGGGACGGAGCCAGAGTGGAGAGGGAGGGGTCACGGGGGGGAGGTCACGGGGGGGGGGGGGGGGGGGGGGGGCCCCATCCCCATCCCCATCCCATCCCATCCCATCCATCCCATCCACCCCCCCACCCGTCCACCCACCCGCCCGCCCCCCATCCCAGGACAGAGCCAGGCACCTCTCTTCCAGACTCCTCTGTATTGGGCTAAAACAGCGAGGTTTTGGTTGCAGGGGGCTGCAGCAGGACCCCCCCGGAGCAGGGCCGGCTCCAACACGGGACCGGGACCGGGACCAGGAGTGGGAATGGGATCGGGAACAGGAGCAGGAGCAGGACCTGGGTGACCTCACCCCTGTGCCCCCCCCATCCTGGTGCCCACAGGACCCCCCCCCATCCCCTGTCCCCCCCCATCCTCCCCAAACCCCACACCTGAAGCACCCCCAGGGTTCTTCCCCCCCACACCCCTCTCTTTGGTCCCCCTCGGGGGATCCCGTGGTCGGGGGGGAGCTGGGAAGCTCCCCCCCCCCCAGGAGGAGCCCCCCCTCCCCGCAGCCTCTCTTATCGGGATGGAATTTGCAGCCCAGGCAAATGCCTCACGCCCGCCGCGACAGCGCCAACGGGGGGAGAGCGGGGCTCTGGGTGGGGGCCAGGGCCTGGGGGGGGGGGGGGCGAGAGACCCCCCTGCAACCCCCCCAACCCTGCTCCAGGTCCCTGCAGCCCGAGGGGGACTTCCCAGGGCCAGCCCCCGCCTGCGGGTGGGGAAACTGAGGCACGAAGGCGGGGCGGGGGGGGAACAAACACACCCATGGGGGGGGGCAAAGCAGCATCTCTGCCCCATAGGGAAAATCCAGCCCCATGGGGGGGGAGGGGGGGGGGGCTCCGTGCCAGCCCCCATATAAAACCTGTGTGCCTCAGATGCTCCTAGACCCCCCGGACCCCTTGGAGCTGCCCCACGGCCCCCCCCCCAGGTGTCGCCCCCCACGCACCCCTTCAGGTTCGCCCCCCCCCCCTCAATGGCTCCCCACAGAGCTCGTGGGGGGGCCCGGCCCTGTTTTGGGTGGGGGCCAAGGCTCCGTTGTTTGCCCTGGGCTCGGTGTCACCGCGCCACCGCCCACTGCCACCCAGCCCGGACACCCCCCCGCGGGTCCCCCCCCCCGGGCAGAGCACCCATGGGTGCCCCCCAATCGACCCCCCCCAGGGTGACGGCCAGGGGGACCTGGGGTGTCCCCAGGGGAGCAGGGACTGTGGGGGGGGACAGGTGCCACCCCCCCCCCCCGGTATCCCTGTGAGGGATGCTGGGGGGGGGGCGGGGAGCCCCCCAGCTCCAGGCCCTGTTTGCAACCCAAAATCTGGAGGAGGAGGAGGAGGAGGAGGAGGAGGCTGGGCCCTGCGGTGCCTTCACCGCTCAGGAATGCGGCCGGACCTCGCAGCTTAACCCTCAGGGAGCCGGGCTGGGGGTCCCGGCTGGGCTGCCCCCCCTCCGGCCCCCCACCCCATATCCCCATGTCCTATGTCCCCCCGTTCCGTGTCCCCCCCATCCCCTGTCCCCCCGCCTCACGTCCTGTGGGACAGGGTGGGATCCGTGGGAACCCCGGGGTGGGGTCCATGGGGATTTTGGGGGGGGGGGGCATGGGGCACCCCAGGGCTGGGCACCATGGGGGGCCCCCAGCACCCTCCCTGCAGGATGGCAGCACTGTGGGTGCCTCAGAGGTGGAGGCTGGGGGGGGGGGCTTGCAGGGAAACTGCCCCCCCGGCCCCCCCCGCATGCAAAGGGCTGTGTCTGTGCAAAGCGCCCCCCCCCCACAAAGGTGCCGGTGCAGGGCATTTGCTTATGCAAAGGTGCTCGGGCCTGCAAGGCGCAGCCATGCAAAGGTGTGCTGGGGGGGGAGGAGGGGCAGTCTGCCAAGGGGCGTGCTTGTGCAAGGCTGTGCGCTTGTGCAAGGCTGTGCACTTGTGCAAGGGTGTGTGCTGCTACAACGCTGTGCACTTGTGCAAAGTTGTGCACTTCTGCAGAGCTGCGCGCTTGCACTAAGGTGCGTGCTCCTGCCAAGTGCACACTTGTGCAACGGTGCCTGCTTGTGCAACGCACGCCTTCCTGCAGCCGTGTGCCCTCGCACAAGTGCAGCTTCTTACAGCGGGGGGGTTGTGCAGCGGGGAGTGCACGGCATGTGGCTGTGAGGAAGGGCGTGCTCACAAGCAGTGTACTTGTGCAAGGTGCAAGGTGCGTGTGCCTACAGGCGTGTGCCCGTGCAAAAATGTGCGTTTGTGCAGCAGGGAGCGTTTGTGCAGCAGCGGGTGCTCACGCAGGGCTGCGTGCTTGTGCAAAGGCGCGTGCTCAGGCACAGTTGTGCATCTCTGCAAAGCCTGCACTCGTGCACACTTGTGGAAAGGAGCACACTCACCTCCTGGGTGGCAGAATCCCACCGCAGCCCCCCCCCACACCCTGAAGCCCCCGGGGACGTGCCCGGCTCCTCGTCCCATGGTTGTGCGGGGGGGATCGGGACCCCCCTTTGTGGCCAGAGCGCAGGGAGCCGATGCCCTGGCAGATAAGGGCTGGAATGCGGCGCCCGCCTGGGTGCAGCCCCAAATGGGGACACTGAGACCCCCTTGGGGACACCCAAACCCCCTCGGGGACCTCCTGACCCCTTTGGGCACATCTTGGGCCCCCCAGGGACTTGCTCCCCCCCCCCCCCAGTGACATGCCATGGGGACACTCCTGTCCCCTCCTGTCCCCTTGCTGGGTGGCACAGAGTGGGAGCTGGGGGGGGGAGGCATTGTCCCTTTGTTGTCCCCCCCCTGCAACCTCCCTTCTTCCTCCCCCCCCCAGTCTGACTGCTCTGTGGGGCCTCACCCCATGGTGGGGATGGGGTTGAGAGGCAGCAGGGGGTCCATGGGGCCAGCCCCACTCTGCACCCCGCACCCCAAGTGTGCACCCCCCACCCCAAACCTGCACCCCAGGACTACAGATTTGCACCCCAAATGTGCACCTGAGACCCCCATTTGCACCCAAGACCCCAAAGCAGCACCCCAAACCCGCACCCAGCACCCCGTGGTTGCACCCAGCACCCCAAACCCGCACCCAGCACCCCACGCCTGCATTCCAGGTCCACACCCAGCACCCCACGGTTGCACCCAGCACCCCAGACTTGCACCCAGCACCCACACCCGCACCCCAGGCCCCTGAAGCTGCACCCCAGCCCCCACACTCCCACTTACCCCCCCCAAGCCTCACCGCACCGCGCTGAGCCCCCCATCCCCACGCCCCCCGATCCGCTGCCCCCGTGCCAAGGCCGTGGTGCCACCTCCCCGTGTCCCCCCCCAGGTGCGGTTCCTGGAGCAGCAGAACAAGATGCTGGAGACCAAGTGGGGGCTGCTGCAGAACCAGAAGCCCCCCCGCAGCAACCTGAGCGCGCTCTTCGAGGCGTACGTGGGCACCCTGCGGCGCCAGCTCGACAGCCTGGGCCAGGAGCGGCTGCGGCTGGAGGCCGAGCTGGGCAGCATGCAGGGGCTGGTCGAGGAGTTCAAGAACAAGTGAGGGGCCGGGGGGGCTCCACGGGCCCCCCCCGGGGTGGTCCCGGGGTTTGGGGGGTGGCTGTGGCGGAGGTGGCTTTGCCTCGCTGCTTGTGGATGGGTGCGCTGCTGGGGGGGTCCCCGTGCCCCCATGTCCCCAGGTCCCTGCATCTCTGGGTGCCCCCCGTCCCCTCCCTTGTTTCTGTCCATGTCCCCCCGTCTCCGTGCCCCCCATTCTTCTGATCTCCCACGTCCCTGCACCTCTGGGTCCCCACGTCCCTGTGTCCCCTTGTACACGGCCCCATGTCCCCATCCCTCCCACCTCCCTGTGTCCCCATGTCCCCTAAATCCCCAAGCCCCTGCCCCCCCGGGTCCCCAGGTCCCCTATATCCCCCTGTCCCCTGCCCCCCGTTTGCCCTACATCCCCCTGTCCCTGTGCCCGCAGGTACGAAGAGGAGATCAACCACCGCACCGAGAAGGAAAACGAGTTCGTGCTGCTGAAAAAGGCGAGGCCGGGGGGACCGGGGACACCGGGGGGGGCAGGCGGTGCCGGGGGGGGCTGACGGGCTCCTGCTGTGCCCCCAGGACGTGGATGAAGCCTACATGAACAAGGTGGAGCTGGAGTCGCGCCTGGAGAGCCTGACCGACGAGATCAACTTCCTCCGGCAGCTCTACGACGAGGTGGGGGCACGGGGGGGCCGCTGGGCTTTTTTTGGGGGGGATGGGGGGCGCAGCGAGGGGACCCTTGCTCAGCCCCCCCCCCTCCATGTCCCGCAGGAGCTGCGGGAGCTGCAGTCGCAGGTGTCCGGACACCTCCGTGGTGCTGTCCATGGACAACAGCCGCAGCCTGGACCTGGACGGGATCATCGCCGAGGTGAAGGCGCAGTACGAGGACATCGCCAACCGCAGCCGCGCCGAGGCCGAGAGCATGTACCAGATCAAGGTGGGGGGGCACCCCGAGCCATCGGCTGCTCTGGGCCCCGGGACGCCCCCACCCTGGGGTGCTCCGGCCCCAGGGTCGCTCTGTCCCGTGGGGTGTCCCCCAGGACTGCCCCATCCCCCAGGACACCCCATACAGCGGGGCGCTCCGTCCCTTCCCATGCTCCATCCCCCAGGAAATCCCATCCTCGGGGCTGCTCCATCCCCCAGGACGCTCCAATGCCCCAGGACACCCCAGAGCCCGGGGTGCTCTGTCCCTTTTCATGCTCCTTCCCCCAGGACACCGCACCCTCCAGCACACCCTCCACGTCGGGGTGCTCCATCCCCCAGCACACCCCACACCCCGCGACGCCCCGTCTCGCCGTCTGGGTCCTGCTCTTCCTGCCCTCGCCCAACCCTCCCCGCCCGGGGGCCAGGCGGCTGCTCCCAGTGCTCCCAGTGCTCCCAGTGTCTGCGGCGTGGGCGCGCCGGGCCCTGTGACGGCCGCCCCGACCGGCCCGGCTGCAGCAGCCCCAGCCCTGAGCATCGCCCCCGGCACACCCGGGCTTGCCCCGGCTCCTTGCTCCCCGGTTTCCCAAGCTGGAGGAGTTTGTGGGGCCGTGGGATGCCCCCCCCGGAGCTCCCATCCCCATCCCCTCTGTCCCAGAGCCCCCCCAGGGCCAGTTCCCTTCTGGTGGCCTCGTTCTGGCCGTCGTCCCCCCCTGTACTGGTGAAGGGCGGCTGGGGGGAGTGCAGGGAGACCCCGAGCGGGGCTGGGAGCGGGGGGACCCCGAGGTCCTTCCCCCCTCACCCCCTGGGTGCTGAGTGCCTGTGGTGTCGTGGCCCCATGGCTCCGGGACTGTGGCTCCGGGGTTTGGTGGGGCTGAGATTTTGTGGGAACGCGAGTTTGGGGTCCCAAGGTTGTGGGGTCCCATGGTTGTGGGGTCCTGTGGTTATGGGGTGTGGTGATGGGGTCTTGCAGTGACAGGGTTCTGAAATTTGGTGGCCCCACGAGTCTGTGGTTGTGCGCTTTGGCGATCCCCTAATTCCATAATCCCCTAATTCCATGATCCCCTAATTTCACAATCCCACAACTTTATGATCCCCTAATTCCACAATCCCCTAATTTTGCAATCCCCTAATTCCACGCTCCCCCAATTTCGTGCCCCCCTCCTGCAGTACGAGGAGCTGAAGACGACGGCGGGGAAGCACGGGGCCGACCTGCGCAGCACCCGCGGGGAGATCAGCGAGCTGAGCCGGCTCGTCCAGCGCACCCAGGCCGAGATCGAGGCGCTCAAGAACCAGGTGGGGCCGGGTGGGGCCGCCCCCGCCCTCCTCCTCCTCCTCCTCCTCCTCCTCTTCCTCCTCCGCCCTCTGCGCCCCAGGGCCCCCCTGCGGCCCCATGGGGGAGCCTGGCCCATGGAGGTGCTGGGGGACAAGGGAGGGGTGCTGGGGGGCAAGGGGGGGCACAGGGCTGAAAGGTGGGGTACGGGGGTGCAAGGTAAGGCATGGGGGTGCAAGGGGAGATGCTGATGTGTAAGGGGGGGAGGTTGCTGGGGTGCAAGGGGGGGGCACTGGGGATGCTGGGGTGCGAAGGGGGAGGCTGCGTTTCAAGGGGGAGGGATGCTGGGGTGTGAGGTGTGAGGACCCCCCCAAACCCTGGTGTGAGGGACCCCCCCCGTGTGCCGCAGCGGGCCAGCCTGGAGGCAGCCATCGCGGAGGCGGAGGAGCGCGGGGAGCTGGCGCTGAAGGACGCGCGGGGCAAACTGGGCGAACTGGAGGCGGCGCTGCAGAAAGCCAAGGCAGACCTGGCCCGGACCCTGCGCGAGTACCAGGAGCTGATGAACGTCAAGCTGGCCCTGGACATCGAGATCGCGACCTACAGGAAGCTGCTGGAGGGAGAAGAGAGCAGGTGGGGGGGGTGACACCCTTTTTTTTTGGGGGGGGGGACCCCATCCTTCCCTCCCCCCCACTGGTGCTGAGCTGTCCCCCCCCCGTTCCCCCAGGCTGGAGGCGGGCGTGCAGAACCTGAGCATCCACACCAGGACAGGCGAGCTACGCGGGTAAGGGGGGGTCCTGGGCTGCGCCCCCCCCTCCCCGCCACCCCAAACAGCTCAGCACCCTCCTCTTTGCCCCCCCTGCTTCTCGTTGCAGCCGGCTACGGCGGGGGCTTCGGGGGGAGCCTCGGGGGGGGCTTCGGGAGCTCCTTCTCCAGCGGCTACGCCGTGCCCCCCCCGGCCCTGGAGGGCTCCCCCGTGGCCAAGTCGCGCGCCATCGTCATCAAGAAGATCGAGACCCGCGACGGCAAGCTGGTGTCCGAGTCCTCCGACCTGCTGGCCAACTGAGCCCCCTCCCGGGCCCCCCCGGAGCTGCTTGCGGCCGGATGGGACCCCCCCACCCCGATGGGACCCCCCCTGGAACCCTCTTCTTGTCCCGTCCTGAGCCAGGGCCCCGCCGTCCGTCCTGCGTCCTGCCGTCCGTCCCCCGCCCCCCTCTGTGTCTGAGCCGCGGGGGGGGGGCTGTGGAGTCCCCCCCCCACACTGTGACCCCCCTCCCCTCCTTCTCTCTCCCCCCCCAGTACAGGGCTGGGGGGGTCGGGGCTCCTGCAATAATAAAGCCTTTGGAACCCACAGCGTGTCTGTGTGATGGGGGGGGGGGGGGGCGCTAAAACGAGTGGGCAAGGGGGTCTGGGGGGGTGTCAAAGGTGGGGGGGGACATCAAGGGGGAGGGGAAGGGGGGGCCTTGAGGGCTGTCACCACCAGGCAGGGCTGCCAGCATCCGTCTGGGGTGCCCGGAGCCACCCGAGGGTGCTGGAGTTTGGGGGGCCAGGATCCGTCCCAGGGGGGGTCCCAGGCTTCACCCAGGGGTCCTGGGCTTCCCCCCCCAGACCCCCACCGTTTAATTAATGCCCCCGTTTATTACTGTGCCCCCATTAATTACTGTGCTCATTAGGGCTGTGCATAATGGGGCAGGGGTCCGGCTGCAGCCTTGCAACCTGAACCGGCCCAATTCCGGCCGATTTCCCCCCAAAACCGAGGCCTCTCCCAGGAACCAGCTCCCCCTCTGGGGACCGGGCTTGGGGGGGGGGGGGCAGGATGAGAACCTTTGCCCCCAGGTTCACGGTTACAGCGCTGGGATCGATCCTGATGGTGCTGGGGGGGGGCTTAAAGGGGTTGGGGGGCGTCGGTGCCCTCGGGGGCCTCCCGCGGGATGCCCCCAAAGCGTCCCTGGGGGGGGTTATTGGGGGGCGGTGGGAATTGGGGTGCTCGGGGGGGGTTATTGGGGGGCGGTGGGAATTGGGGTGCTCGGGGGGGGGCCGGCTCCCATTCCCGGCCCGGGGGTGACACCTGGCGTCAGCACCGCGAACCTCGCTCCGCACCCCGCTCGCCGCTAATTGCCGCTAATTGCCGCTAATTAATTGCCGTTAATTACCGCCCCCCGCCCCCCTCCTCCCCTCTCGGTACCCAACCCCTGCTTGTTCGTTAATTAACCAATTAATGAATTAATGGGGGGAAAAGGGGCTGAATTTGGAGGCGGGGGGGGGCCCTGGGTGGCCACCAGAGGCCCCCCCAGAGCCTCCCCGACGCCTCCCACCTCCGGGGGGGCCCCCGCGGGCTGCCTGGGGGGGCCTGGGGGAGACCCTGACCCTATGGGGGGGGGACTGGGGGTGTCTGCAACAACAGGACCCCCCACCCCCATGGTTCTCCCTCCCTAGCCCCCCCCCCCATGCAGCTCCAGCCCCCCCTTTCCCTTTCCTGCCCCCCCGGGTGAATTTTGGGGCTGCGGGCGCTGGGAGGCAGCAGAGGAGCGGGGACGGCGCGGGCCCAGCCGCGGGGTGGAGCCGGGCCCCCCCCGGGGGAGCAGCACCCTTGGGACCTCCCCCACCTCTCCCTGCACCCCAGGAACCTCCCCGCCCTCCCCCGACCTGAGCCTTTGGGCTTTTTCTCCAGATGCTCCCCCCCCCAAAAAAAAAACATTTGGGGCCTGGAGGTGGCCGGGGGGTGCTGAGCCCCCAGGGGTTCCCCCCCCCGGTGCCGGCTGGGGACGGGGGCGTCGGGGGCTGGGGGTGCCCGGGGCTCCGGGGAAGGTGGCACGGGGGAGACTGAGGCACGGGGGGTGGAATGGGGGCAGGGGAGGATGGGGGGGGGTTGGCTTTTTTGGGGCTGGGGTGGGACTTTGGGGGCGAGGCAGTTTGGCATTTGGGGGGGGGCGTTTTGGGATTTGGGCATTTTGGGGATCAGGGTGGGATTTTGGGGTGCTCACCCCCACCCTGTGCCATCGCAGTGCCTGCCGCTTTGGAGGGGATGAGGCAGCACCCAGAGGTGCTGGGGGGGGGGGGGGGGTCACACCCAGCCTGTTACCCCCCCCACATCAACGTGCAGACCCCAGGGGTGAGCCCAGCCGGAGGGGGGCACTGCCACTGCCCCAAGCTGGGGACACCGAGGTTTGGGGACACCGAGGTTTGGGGTCACTGAGGCTTGGGGCCACCAAGGTTTGGGGCCACCAGGACCTGGGGACACGGAGGTTTGGGGTCACCAAAGTCGGGAGACACCGAGGGTTGGGGGCACCAAGGTTTGGGGCCACACTCCGACCCCCCTGCTGGGTTCATCCCCGTGTCCCCCCCGCAGGGCCGTGTCCCGGGGGGGCCGCCTCGGGAGGTGCCCGTGACTCAGTGGGGTTGGACGTGCCGGGGCCCCGTGCGCGCCCACGTGCTTTGTGGGGGGGGGGACGGGGGACAGAGCCTTTTGGGGTGTCCCGGCATCGGGAGCGAGGAGCTGGAGGCCTCCGGGGGGCTCTGGGGGTGCTGGGTGTGGGGGGTCCCCTCCTGCCTGGTGGGGGGAGCAGGGGGACAGCGTTTGGGTGCTCCCCAAAATTTCCCTCACTGCCAGCACCGGGTGCCCGCAGCCACCAGCCGGTGACCCCAATCTGAGCCGGGCCGGGCTCCTTCACCCCAAAACCTGGGGCGGCTTCGGGTTCCCCTCACTGGAAGCGAGCAGCACGCGGGGAGGGGACAGACCCCCCCAAAACCCGGGGGTGTGCTAAGGCGGGGGGTCTTGGGGATCCCCCCCTGCAGCACCGCAGTCCTGCCCTGGCGGGGGGGGACCCCAAAACCCTTCTCCCCCTGCCCTGACCCCGCTGAACCCCGGCTGGGAGCTGGGCACGGGGCGACGCCGGTGGCGGGGGGCTCGGCCAGGCGTGGCGGGGGGGGCACGGGGCCAGCAGCAAGCTGGGGCTTGCTGATGAGCTTTCGGCTGTAATTAGCGGCGGGGCAGGACCCGCCCAAAGCTCCTCGCTTGGCGTTTTCACACGCACACCCCTCGCACCCTTCCCGGCCCTGGGGGTGTTTCTCCTCTCCCCAAATCCCTACGGACGGGTCCAGCCCCAGGGCCTGGGGAGGGCTCAGAGGGTGCCCTGCGTTCGTGGGGCCCCCCAGGCCAGCACGGGACAGACGGACACGGGGACGTCCCGTGGGCTCCTGCCTCCGTCCCTGGAGGCTCTGAACCGGGGGGCTGGGGACGGCCCCGTCCCCCGGTGCCTGCTCTCTGTCCCCTCCCAGCCACCTCTCGTTTTGCTTCCCGGTCCATTTTGCCTGGTTTCTCCCCAAAATGTGCCATTTCTGCCAGCTGGAGGGGAAAGCCCCCTGCACCCTGCTGGTGCCTGGAGCAGCTTTGCCACTTCCCTGGAGCTTGGAGGCTCCAACCCCCTTTTCCCTCATCCCTTTTCACTGAAAAGCAGCGTCCTGGCCCAAACAGCGCTGTGGGGTGGGGACACGCTCCGTGCCCCCAGTCCTCGAAGCAAAGCCGTGTAAATGTGCACCCCCTTTGTGCCCTCCACCCCCTTTTCAGCACAGCCCCTCGCAGCTCCAAATTGGCCCAAATTCGGGTGCCCCTGTGGGCAGCCCTGAGTGCTCCTGTTCCTTTTGGGGTGCTCGGAGAGGGGGCAGCGGTGCCGGGGGGGGGGGGGGTCTGAGTGCTCTGGGGCCGTGCGGCTCTGAGCTTGGCACCCAATTCTCACTGCCTGGCAGCCGGGACTCAGGTTTTGCACCATTTCTGAGGGACAGGCAGGCGGAGGGGTTTTTTCCCCGTCTCTCTGGGGCTGAATTCCCCAAATTCTCCCCACGAGGCCACCGAGGCGGGTGGGGGCCGGGGGGCTGGGGGAGCTCCGTGCCCCCCCCAGCCGTGGAGGCACCCGTGGCGCTGCAGCAGGCACGGGCGGTCAGCGGCATCGCCCCGCTGGCAGGAATCATCGCCCTCCTGGAGGGCTGCGGCGTTGGGCCGCGGGGTCCCGGGGGCGGTGTTGGCCGCTGAGCGCCGTCGGAGCGGGGCTGTTGCAGCCGGAGCCTCCCGAAGCCCTCGGCCGTGCGCAACGGCCGCGGTGACAGCGCTGGGTGTGCCGCCGGCTTCTGCAACAGGCGCCTTTGATCTCGCCCGGGACCCACCTTGTTATTTCTGCTTTGTGCTTCCCAGCCCAGGCCCCAGCCCTGCAATTTGCCCGCTTACTAATTGCGAGCTGAGCGGCTGAGTCCTCGCCGCCTGACGGAGCGGGCTCTGCTCTCCCTGCCGCCTCTTCGGGGCGAAAGCGGGCCGCTTTGGGCTCCCCGGCCCACAGAGGGTGCCGAGGGGTGCTGCGGACGGGGGGCAGCCCACGCTCGGGGCACCCCCAGCGGGCAGGGCCTGCGCTGCCCCCCCCCCTCCCCAGTGCCGGTGGCAGAGCTGCGGCTGCGCCTTCGAAGCGCGGAGCAGCCCCGGGCGCTCCCCTGCCCGCTGCGCCTCGTTCCTTCCCCTCTGCCTCCTGCTTTGCATCCCAGACCGGGCGGTGGGGGCTGAGCAGCCCCGGGGCACCGGGGAAAGCGAGCGGCTGAAGCGGGGAGCCCAGCGCCACCTCTGTTCCCTCCCCACCCGAGGCTTTTGTGGGGCCGCGAGGAGCTCGCGTGGGGCTGGGTGGCTCCTTGAGCAGCCCCGTGGGTGCTCCTGGAGGTGCCGAGCGCTGGCAGTGCCCCGTTGGGGTAAATCACAGGACCACGGGAGGCTGCCGGAGTTCAGGAATTGTTTGGACAGCGCTGCCAGACACCTGCTCTGTTTTTTTTTTTGGGGTGGTCCTTTGGGGTCCCAGCAGTTGGACGCGATGGTCCTGGTGGGTCCCTTCCAACTCGGGTGTTCTGTGATTCTGTGGGATCATCTGGGTTGGAAAAGACCTTCAGGATCATCGAGTCCAACCACCAACCTGACCTCTCGAGCCCCACCACTAAGCCATGCCCCTAAATCCTGGTTTATGGGATCCCACCACGGCCACCTCCTGCTCCCCCACGGACCGGAGAGGCGGCACCTCCCCGTGTCCCCATGCC